AATTGATCTAGTAAGAGTTTTTTCAGGAATTATAGAAGAGATCAAATATTTTACTAAGTTTAATTTCCTTTTGGATTTCATTATAATGAATGTGAAAATTACTGAGTTGTAACATGGAATTAATATTCCAATAATGAATCTAAGAATATATACATTTCATGCTTTGAAATAGAATTCATGATTACTTACCAAAGCAATGAGGAGCTATAAATTTGAAAACACTTTATCCTGATATAATAATAAGCAGTATGTCATCTATTATTTGCTTATGTGACTTCAATATGAACCTTTGGATGGAATTTTTCTAATTTTTAAGACCATCACATTGGACTTTTAACTGAATTTTGATGTTTCCAATGCTGTGTAATTCATTTTTATAATTAGGAAACATTTAATAAACATGTGTTTGTATAAAGAAATTTTTTAAATGTGTAAGAAAAAAATATACATTTAGTTAAAGACTTAAACCCCTTTCCTTTTCTATTCTTTCCAAAGAAAAATTACCTTACTGTGCTGGTAGAAATAATCTCCCTATATCAAGAATAACCCAAAATGATGATGACTCAATGTCAGGGTACCACTAAATGCATCTTCACTTCCAAACTTTGATTTAGAGTGCTACCCAATAGTATATCAAGCTCCCATATATTTGATCATCTTGTTTCTAGATTTCCCCATTGCACTGGATTGGTATGTCTAGCCCTTAACTGATACCCCACCCTCTGGACTGCTATAAATTTACAGAGAGTGTAGTAGAATGAGTCCAACACCATTGTTCTTTTCTCTGCCTCCTCCTTACTAGAATTGAAATATTTCTTTCCTATTTTTGCCTTTATTCTTCCCCATGAATTTTACTATCTCTGTATAACTGTCTATGTTTCAAAAGGTTTCAGGATTTGAATGTATTTTTTATTGAAATTACACATTACTTTGAGATGATTTGTAATCTTTATAGTATTGAACTTTCCTGCTAGGAACCTAAGTCCATGATGTTATATGATTTCAGAAATCTAAAATACACATTTTTCAACGTATTTTGCAAAATCTGACCAGACCCAATTCATTTTGTGACACACCATGATTGATGTGATATGAGACTGTACATATCCTATTTACCATGAATGTTGAAACTTTTAGCTATAGAAATACTACTGTACTTGAGGAAATTGTGATGCTTCAAATTCAGAGGGTGTTTCCTATTATATAGTACAGTTGAGTTTTTCACTGATGCACCAAATACAGAAGCACACAAATTATAAGTATATATTTGTAAATCATCAGAGTGAATCCACCTGAAGCCACCATATAGATCAAGTAAGATAATAAAAAGCACCCAGAAGACCCCCTTGTGTCACCTCCCAAAGGAAATACATATTGATCCTCAATACTAGTTTTCAATTTTCAATTTTCTAAAAGTGTAATTGTGTACCATATTAATATAACAAGAGCAATAAGATGTTAGATATATGAAAACTATCTGTACTATCTTTGCCACATTTCTATAAAATCTAATATACTAGTTTATTAGAAATGTTTCATAGATCTGATTTGACTAAACACTATCATGTTTGTAAGATTTATCTAAGTTCTATATAACAATATTTCATTCATTTGCATTGTATAGTATTCCATTCTATTCATATACAACAAATTATCAAATTCACTTTTAACATTTGTGTTACTTTTTTTTGCATCTATGATAATGCTGATAAGAACAGTTCTGTACAAATATTTTGGTACATATAGCCACACATATTCATCAAAACTTCTGGTTATAGAGACTTAATTGTGGAAAAGTCTTAATTACATATTTAATTACAATCTAAAATATAGGATAATATAGATTTTCTGTTTCTTCTTGAGTAAATTCTGGTAAATTTTGTCTTAGGAATTTATCCTTCATCTAATTTGTCAGATTTCTTGACATAAATATAATATTCCTTAATTACCTTTTTTTTATGATTGTAGGATCTGTACTTATGTCGACTTTGTCATTCTTGATACTATTTATTTGCACTCTTTTCCACCTCTAACCTTGTCTTTTCTGGGCTCTATCAATTTAACAACTTCAGATTTAGTCTTCTCCACTTAATGATTATTTTCTATTTCATTTATTTTTGTCTTTATCATACCTTCCTTTGCTTCTTTCGGTCTAATTTGCTGATTTTTGGGGTAAGTTCATATATCATGAAGTTTGAGTTTTTCTGCCTTTGATTCTTTGCAGTGTTTTGAGATTTGCTTTATAGCTTAGCATGAAGTCAATATCTATAAATGCTTTACGTTCATTTGAAGAAAATAAATCAGTTGTTTGGTACAGCATCTTACATATGTAAATTAGATCAAATGTGGTGTTTTATTCAAACCTTCAACATCCTTATGGACCTATCTATGTATTCTTTCAATTGCTGAGGGAGAAAGGTTAAAATATCTCATTACGATTTTGTATTTTAGTTCTGTCAACATAAAATGAAGCTAGATTTTTAGTACATACAAATGTATAATACCATCATCATAGTTAAAAATTATTACTTAAAAAGATGAATCTACTTTGTCTGATAATGTATCAATATAACATCTTTTTGTATTAATTTCCATTCAGATTTTACTTTCAATATCCTTACATGGAAGGTGTTCTAACTACCAGTGTTGTTTTTGTTTTTTTTTTTAATCATCTGACAATGTTTGTCTTTTTTTTAATTTATTTATTATTTATGATAGTCACACAGAGAGAGAGAGAGAGAGAGAGGCAGAGACACAGGCAGAGGGAGAAGCAGGCTCCATGCACCGGGAGCCTGACGTGGGACTCAATCCCGGGTCTCCAGGATCTCGCCCTGGGCCAAAGGTAGGCGCCAAACTGCTGCGCCACCCAGGGATCCCTGTTTGTCTTTTTTTAACTGATAATGTTTGCCTTTTTTAACTGGATAGTATGCTCCATTTACATATAAATGGTTTTGGTAAATTCTATTTCTTTATAATTCTTTGTGAACTGAGGATACATCCTGCTTCATTGACTTCTGGTTTCTTCACTTGTCTTTTGACCTTTAGGATGTAGATAAAATACTCTCTGCCTCTTGCCCACTGCTCTGTCATGGGAATATCATATCTCAGATAAGATGTGCTCTTTGAGTCTGAGTCTCAGAATAAGAATACAGAAAGGATCAACCAGATCTCCGTCCATAGTCTGGAGCTAAACTGACACAGTTGCCCTCCAGCTGCTAATAAGCAGTAAGAACAAAAACACTTTTGTAAACCGCAGCAGAGATTTTGGAGTTGTGTGTGTGTGTGTGTGTGTGTGTGTGTATGGCTTAATGAAAGGTGATTAATCTAGAAAATCATACCAGAAATGTAGTGTTACTATAAAAAGCACATAAAATATGTGTCCATTAGCTTCTGAGTTGGGAAAATGTTGTAGGAGACTAAAAAATAAATGGCAACACATGGTATGTAGTGTCAAAACATTTGGTAAGACTGTCACCTGTGATTCCTTAGAAATTAGACAACTTAATGTATGACTTTGTCTAATTGCCGGTAAGACAGAATCTTAATAACTTCAGTTGGTTGTTTTTAGCTGCGTTCTTTAGTTACTATAAGATAGACATGAGCTCAAAAAAGGACTGGTGTGTTTTCCAGCAGGAATGAAAGCCCTTAGTGAGCCCTTTCATAGACTAGACAGGACCTGGCTTTGAAATCAGACCTGTTTTTATATCCCAGCTCAACCCCCCTTTTTTGGAAATACAATATGGTGTATCAGTTAAGAAAAAGTGGTTTATGTTCTAGTTACAAACAACTCCAAAATGTCAGCAGCTTAACAGAACAAAGTTCCTTAGTTATGCCTGGTGAATATGTCCATCCTGGTGAACTGGGTGCTCTACTCCCCATAGTCACAGTCACTTCAGAGTGCAGGCTGATGGAGTCCTCCAGTTCACCATATACAAATGGAAATTTGGCAGGAAACATGAATATACAAATAAACAAACATGTAAGTTACTTTAATAAATAGACCAGTATGGACAAAGAGGCCATCAGAACATACTGAGTCAAAGCAGCATTATTCCTGCTTTCTTCAAGCCAATGTAAATACTCTAGTAGAGCTTAATGGGAATGCTAAAGTTTGAGCAGTATCATTGGCACCCAACTACAGTGTCATATAATTCCCTGTTTAAATATTTGTGCATCACTTATGTTTGCATCTTAATCCAGGTATTTTTATTAATCATCATTTCTCCTCTAATGGTGACTTAAGTACCAGGCACTATAGTTAACATTAAAGAGATGCTAAGGCATAATTATGACTTCAGCTTATCATCTCTAGGGGACCCATTGCAATAACATGCACCACATCATGGTTTAGTGCCATGAAACACGTAAAGCTCTAACCATGCTCTAAAGTGCTTAGCTAGAGACTTATAATGGTGGTGTTTTGCTTTTGTTTTGTCAGAAGATTGTTTTGCAAGTTCATGGCAACTTTATCATGGCTTATTCTTAACTGAAATCTCTAGACTATAGTTAATAAATAATAGTAGTTATAAAGTTTTCAGTATGTACTCAGCAACATTATCTGTAAAGGTGTATCAAACACACTAACAAAAAGCCTTGGAGGTAGGTGTCATTATCCTAGATTACAAATGAGATACTCAGGCCAAAAGGTTAAGAAGTTTACCCAAGTTTGCAAGACTCAAAAGTTGGAGAGCTGAAACTTAGAAACCAAGCAGTTTTATGCTAAAGCCATGGTTTTGACCACTTTTTTGGACCGTTTTTTTTTTTTTTTGGAAGTTTAGAGAATTTTAATTACTCAGTTGCGCTTTTAGAGGTTCTGATTTCTCATTTGTCCTTCAAGTTAAGAAATTTTAGAAATCTCCCTTTACAACAAATTCTCATTAGTATACTTTTCCTTTACATTTTTTTCCATTTAACATGTCCACAGTCCTGATAGAGAACATAGTTTTTGATTTAAGCATCTCTCCCTTTCTCTCTTTTTACTATCATTTATTTTTCCTTAGGTCTCTACAGAAGAAGGCTTGAGTCTGGCCCGGGAATATAACTGTGCTTTTTTTGAGACCTCTGCGGCTCTCAGATTCTGCATTGATGATGCCTTTCATGGTCTCGTGAGAGAAATCCGCAAGAAGGAGTCCATGCCATCCTTGATGGAAAAGAAACTGAAGAGAAAAGACAGCCTGTGGAAAAAGTTAAAAGGCTCATTGAAGAAGAAGAAAGAAAACATGACATGATATCCTTGCTTCTAACTCCCTTATTCTTTCTCTGAATTTTATCAGTTGGACGATTCCAGATGTTGCATTCTGCTTCAATATTTTCTGTCTCTCTCTTTCTCTTTAAATATCTGCCTATAGGTAAAAGCAAGATCTGCATAACTGTACCTCTTGAGATAGTTTTGTTTTGCCCTTAACAGTTGGATGGATTTTGTCAATCAGCTGGATATGCTGTTTAAGTTTTTACAATATATTACTAAATAAAATTGACATTCCAATTGCCTCATTTCCCTTTAAAGAGTCTAGCTTCATTTGGTATGCTGTCTGGTTATAGAGGAAATTCAAAATTGCAGACTGAATGATAAAAGGCTCAGGGGATCTGCCTTTGCCTGATAAGACTCTGATTGTTTGCATTTCAGGAATCTCAGTAAATAATGAAGAAGCTCAGGAAACAATTCAGAGCAGGAGTCTGCAGTCCTGTCTTTCCTTAACTGTGGAAGTCTTGGTGCTTTTTTGTGAAGATAAATCTTAGAGGAATTATTAATAATAGGAACCAGTTGTGGGTCATTGGAGGGCTGAAAGAAAATATCCCTGTATTTGCAGTGCTCTGCCCTGTTAGGATTTAGCAAAATTATCACCATGAAGTCGCTGAGCTGTGGCAAAAGGATCTTGTCTTTGTAGCAGGCAAAGAGAGGCTGATAGGAACTTGGTGGTTCAGATATTCATAGAAGGACACCCTGCTCCCTACCACTAGGAGTCCCTCTTAGGATTGCTTCACCTACAGTGGGACCACCTGGAAGGCAAGAGCCTTGTTGATCCAGAGACCCTATATTCTCTGTATGCTGCCATAATTTCCTATCTCTTCTTACTCAAACCATGAAATACCATCAGTTAGAAGGTTTTGTTTCTTATTTGTTACAAAGGATCATCATGGAAAATGAAATTGTCTATTCACTCATTGATCCCACTGTGTGATTTGGTTTATTCAAATTCAAACTTAGCACCTTACCCACACAGTTTTGAATGTTTAACAGACAAGTATTAAATAAGAGTTGAACATGAGTTGGAAACCATGTAACCAGTCTTCATGGGTTGGAGACAGTTTTTTATCACAAATCAGAGAAAAGGAAGGATGAAGAGCATAGTTATCATACAACATGTAAACACTTATTCTTTTATTCACAATGCCCCTAGAACTTGTTAATCTCTGAAAATGCAGGAATGACTCAAGGTAGCTTAACATATAGCTGGAAGACTCACTTGGCTGAAGAACAGTGGGATTATACATTATTAGATGAGAGGACACGTTTTACATAGTAACATAGATACAACTGGAAGGAATTTAGAAATCATAAATTTTCAACTGGTGAACTAAAATTTTAGCCTTTCAGAATAATATACCTGTGGGTCCTTTTGTTGCTTGGAGCTAAGGCCTTTGTCAAAACCACAGGGACTTCACTGTTCTTGATCCTATGTACTAGACATGCAATTAACTGTTGCCAGCTGTCTCTCTTTGGTGTTTTCTCAACCCTCATATTCTATGGTGTAGGACACAAACTAATCAGTTTTCCCCATTCCATAGTGTCCTGAAACCAAATCCACTTCATCTTTTCATAATTAGGAGAAAAAGTAAAAAAGAGAACACATAGAGATCATTTAAAGATATTCTTAAAGTTACAGACTGGGTCTTTCTTTGCTTCCTCCTGCCTTGGTTCTGTTTATTTTATTTTTTTAAAGATTTTATTTATTTATTCATAGAGACACAGAGAGAGAGAGAGAAAGGCAGAGACACAGGCAGAGGGAGAAGCAGGCTCCAGGCAGAGAGCCTGACATGGGACTCGATCCAGGGTCTCCAGGATCACGCCCCGGGCTGCGGGCGGCGCTAAACCGCTGCGCTACTGGGGCTGCCCTTGGTTCTGTTTAATAGTCTGTTTCTGTCCTGTTAAAAATGGGTTAGTACATTCTTTGCCTCCTGCATATTCTTTTCCTTCTGCAGCCCCGGACCCCAGAGAACCTTTTCAAGCCTGGGAAGACCCTGTAAATACTATATTCCATCAGACTCTTCTGTTTGCTAGAAGATGCAATCTAGGAAACATAGTACTTGGCATTTAGTTCTATATGATGAAACTCCATCTTTGAAAACTTGATGAGTGCCCAGTCTATGAGTACTAAGACTGTTTGGTGCATTTCCTAACATAACTCAGTCTATATAAATTTATTACTATCAGCTCCACTGTCTTTTGGCTCTAGAATTTTCTAAATCTCTTCTACTCCTCTTTCTTTCTTCATACTCCTTGAGTACTAATAAATAATTTATAAATTGTAGGAACTTTTAGAGGGGTTTAGATTAGGTAACATGTGCCAGGTCCAACCATTCACTCTGTAGAAGGGGATCTGCAAAGTATCACCTGGGAGCTGCATGAATTTGAGATACTTATTACAAGCAGAGATTGAGGCAGACTTCAAGCATTCTTCTAGGCAGAAGGAAATGTTCCAGAAGAATAAAACCTAGATATTTCTGTCCATGGGCAATTAATTCACTCTCTTGCCATAAGACTGAAATGCCAAGATCTTATTTTTGATCATTATCCCTGAAAACTTCCAACCAGACCTAAAATATCTAAGTCAATCTCAAAAGCTCAGAGAAGAAAACCACAAAATACACATGCCTGCATTGCCAAGGGACTGTCAATAAACTCTTGAAAATAAACATCCATTTCCATTGTAGATGAATGTGGAATTCTCCAGCACAATCTATCAAATAGTAACTAAAAACCTACTATGTAACAAGCAGTTTTCTAGATACCACATTCATGTATATATGGGTGTGTGTGCCTGTACCAAAGCACTTAGGAAATTCTAAACACAGTTTTCTGCCATCTAGAAATATATCATTTATCTATTTTGAGGTGTTTTTCATTAATTTATCTTGTGATTCCCCATGGTAAAATAATTTCTCAGATCAGAGACAATAGCCATCTAAAATACTATATTTTGTGTTCAGTAGGTACAGGTTGAGTTACGGAACTTCCATAGAAAAGGCCAGTGAGGAAAAAACATGGGCACTTGGGTCAAACAGTACTCACATAACAGTCGGAAGTGCAAGGAACAAATAGCTACTTTATTTCTAACTCATCTGTTCTTTCTCACAAGCCCTCTGACTAATGGGTAGCTGTGGGGGGGGTACTAAATTTTAATTCAGTGCAGTAATTTAATGCTAATATGAGGCAATAATTTAAGAAGTATTTTTAAATGACACAATCTCTGCATCATGTACTTAGGTCAGTGTTTGATCATTCAAACTTCTGCCCCGCTTCCTTTCCTTTCCAAAACTATACATAGGTATAAGAGAAAGGCATGGCCTACATGAGCTCATGGCAATAGAATTCCCCCTTCTTCCAAGTTCTATAGTGTATCCTCAGTATTCTCTTTAATCTGTTTAGCCAAGGTTTACCAACAAATTAGACAACGTAGAAGAAATGGATAAGTCCTTAGAAACATACTACCTACCAAAGCTAAAGCAAGAAGAAATAGAAAATTTGAACAGACTGTTCACCAGCAATGAAATTAAATCAGTAATCAAAAAACTTCGAACAAATGAAAGTCCAGGACCAGATGGCTTCCTGGGGGAATTCTACCAAACATTTCAAGAAGCTCTAATACCTATTCTTCTCAAGCTATTCCAAAAAAACAAAAGAGGAAGGAAAACTTCCAAGTTCATTCTATGAGGCCAGCATTACCCTGATACGAAAACCAGATAAAAGTACCACAAAAAGACAACTACAGGCCAATATATCTGGTGAATATAGATAAAAAAATCTTCAAAATATTCTAAAATATTAGTAAACTTAATTCAGTGACACATTTCTAAAAGTCACACACCATGATCAAGTGGCATTTATTCCAGGGTGCAAGAGTGGTTCATTATTCACAAAACAACATGACACATTACATCAATAAAAGAAAGGATAAAAACCCTACAATCATTTCAATAGGTCCAGAAAAAGCATTTGACAAAGTACATCGATTCATTACAAAAAACCAGCAACAGAGATTTAGAGATAACATACCTCAGTGTAATAAAGGCCTTATATGGAAAACCCATAGTATACTCAATGGTGAAAAACTAGGAGCTTCCCCCTAAGGTCAGAAACAAGACAAAGATGTCTACTCATACCACTTTTATTCAGCAAAATACTGGAAATCCTAGCCACAGCAATCAGCAACATAAAGAAATAAAAATTATAAAATTGGTAAGGAAAACATAAAACTATTTAAAGATGACATGATAAAATCTATAGAAACTCCTAAAGACTTCACCAAAAAACTACTAGAAATGATAAATGAATTCAGTAAAGTGACAGGATACAAAAATCAATGTATAAGGGTATGGCCTGATTCTTCTTTTTCTCAACTTTATTTTATTGTCATCATACCATTTGACATGATATCTACCCTCTCAAGAAATTTTTAACTATACAATTACTGCTGACCAGGTAAAATGTTGCACATCAGATCTCTAGAGCTTATTTATCTTGCTTGAAACTTTATAGCCTTTGATTATAATCCCCCACCTCCCCATCCCTACAGTCCCTGGTAACTATCTGATTCTGTTACCAGACTGGTTGACTCTGAGGTATGTTGAAGGTAGGCAGGTTGGGCCATGATAAATAGGAGCTTTCTACTGGTATCTATGGCATTGCTCTTTGCCTTTGGGTCTCAAGGTCCTTCCCAACACAGTGTCTTTATTCAACCCCAGGTCTCTTCCAGACACCCCTACCAGCACCTGTGCCTCTCTCTGGGATCACTCATATGCCACACACAGGTCATGGGGATTCCTGAGCAATGACTCAGTAAGGCTCTGCAGCTCTGCCTACCCCCACCTCTATCTAGCTCATGTGGGGCTGCCCCCAGTAATCTAGCTTATTCCTAGTATTTATTAATTAGCAAAAGTGATATACAAGCACAGATAAATTAGAATGTACCATATCAGCTATAAACACAAAATGTGTCCATGAATGGGAAACTTGGTTACTAGCCCAAGTTCTCAAACTTTCCTGTCATTGGTTGTAAGGAACCTCCTACCATTAGTCAGCCAGAGGGGCCCAGGGTGTAGGATTAGGAAAAGGATCCTGATGTATATAGTCCATTTGCTTTTCAGTGTCTCTCTTCCATAAGCCATCTGCTGGAAGGAAGTAGGCTGCATGCTTTTCTC